GCCGCGCAGTCACCTTCTCGGCAAAGCCCCGTGTGCTGGGGCACCGCCGACACAAGCAGCTCCTGATGTTGCTCTGCCATCCCTCCCGGAGAGGGGCTCCAACACCGGACGGAGGGGCTGAGCAGCTCCGGTGTTTTGTCCTCCTGCTCCCACCTGGACAGGAGCAACCCGGCAGGAGCACGCCGCCGGGTTTGCCCTGTGGCCCTCCTCCTCCTCCTCCCGGGTGCAGGTTTGCTAAACCTCACTCGCACAACAGTCAGGCCTTTTTCCGGGTGCACGGGCAGGGGCTGGCGTGGGCTGGAGCACCCTCGGGCAGGAGCTGCTCCTGCAGGATCCCTGAGCACAGCCCTGGCTCGGCCTCATCTGAAATTCTCCCCTCTAAGCTCCACTTTTCCCACAAATGGAGCACATTCAGACCCATCCTTTAATTTCAAGGTTTCTATTTACCATGGAGATTGTGCAAGAGGATTAGTGCTGTGCCTCCAGCGTGTTTCAGCCAGAACGTAACTTTTATAATCTGCCTGAGCAATGAGATGCGTAACTCCAGTGGCTGGAGTTACTTGCAAGTTCTCAGCTTGTGCACTGAATTATACCTCTTGCTGGGCAATTAAATTTATATGAGCAACTGCCTATCAAACCTGAAGAAATTAATTAGAATTAAGTACTTTTAGGGGAAATAAGCCCTTGCCTTACTTCCCGGTACAAGGAGGAGCACGTGCTCGTGAGCTGTGCCACTGCAGCTTGCCCCAGCATGTTGTGCCCTGCTCAGGACTGGCAGGGCCTCACAGCGGCAGCTCTAGCAAGCTTTTCTTTCCCCAAAAGTGCTGATTTTAGGGCCTACCTGCTCCAGACGTCAGCAGCATTTCAGTGCTCTCCCTCCAGGCTGGAGGCAGCCCCAGCACAGGGGGCCAGGGGCTGCAGGGGCAGCCCGGGGACGAGAAGACCTGCCACCCCACTGCTAGGGCTTTCCAACCCCGTCTCTCCCTGGAGACACCAACTTGGGGGCTTATGAGGGAGCAGACAGCCCCCAAAATCCCTCTGCCCCCTTCCCCAGCGAGGCAGCATCCCAGCCAGCCCCACAGCTGGGTGCTCATTTATCACCTTCCTCCTCCTCCTCTCCCCACCTGCCGTCAGGGGCCGTTCCCCACCTGCGTGGGGGCACCCGCCGGGCTCCTCCTTCCTTCCCCAGAGCCTTTGTCAAAGCACCGATTTTTCCCATCAATATTTTGCCCCCCATTTCTATCTCAGTGGGATATTTGGGGCCGAGGCTCCCTTGCAGCCCTGGGTTGTTCCTCGCCATGTGCAGCCCCTGACACCGTCCAGTCACTGGGATGCGCCGGCAGCGGGACCATACAGTCCTGTTGCCTCCCTGGGGTCGCCTGTGACCCCCCTGTGCTGTGCTGCCTCGATCCCCACTTTTCCTGGCTCCGGCGTCCCCTGGCAGGTCCGTGACGCTGGGGGGGCCGTTCCCCACCTGCGTGGGGGCACCCGGCGGGCTCCTCCTTCCTTCCCAGAGCCT